GCTTGCTCATATTCCTACTATATTTTTTCTCTTAGCAAGTGCTACCATTATAGTATGCAGATTAGGAGGCTATAAGATGATATATATGTTTGCTCTAGAGGTGAGATTTAAATATGTTCACCCGGCTATTTATTAGAAGGCTTAATAGACTAATATTCTAAGAAAAAATTTCGCTGACAGACCATGAGAGAAATTATTACACCCCCATTTTTTTTTCACCTAAAGTTATACTTCTAGGTGTAAATTTTTATTATGATAAAATTATAATTAGGAAGTCGTACATAAGTAAGAAAACAAATTTATGATTTTAATAAGTGAAAAAGGGCTAAGGTACACTATTCATGCACTCATCTCCTTGAGGTTTATGGTTAATTTACTTCGGTCTGCACATACTTTCTACTATGTGTAAATTTTTATTATATCAGAATTATAATCAGGAAGGCGTGCAAAAGCAAGAAAATAAATTAGCGATTTTATTGAGTGAGAAAGCTGGAATACATTTTTAAGAGTACAAATTTTATCAATATAGTAGAACTATATTTTGAGAGCTCTAGAATAGCGAACCAATAAGTAATCATTTTAGCATCAGGAAGGGCCTAGAATACTTATTTTGATAACTATCTTTCTTGGGTTCCAGAGTGAAAAACCAATGGTCTGCCCACCCTCCCTGCTGCTATTACTTTCCATTTAGTTAAATTTAAATTATGATCCTTACATTTTATCAAATAACTACTTTTAAAAGAGTATTTTTTATGATAATAATAGATAATATATTATAATTAACTTATTTAATTATTTGAGAAACATTAAATTTTCTTTCTATATTTAGTTGAATTACCTTATTATTATTATTATAATTCTTATCTAAATTTAGTATTTAAGTTAAGATATAATTTTATCATAAGAATGAATTGAAAACTATCTTTAGAATCTTTCTGTAAAATATGATCCAATGATTCAATGAATTGCTTGCCTTTGGATTTTTTGAAAAGTATTAAATCCTGAAAGAAGATTAACAGAAAATTATTTTTAAATTTTCTTAAGATTGTACTATGGGATCAAAAAAAAATCGTTTATCATTTCACTCAATTAATTTTTACGAACATAATCTGGTTGATATTGATGTATTTCGAAGATATAGGATTTATATTGATACATCATGCAATTTGAAAATTAGTAAAAACTGTCCATTTGCATATACAATTCAATCACAACTATATATTAAAGAAAAGGTAAAGTTCAAGACTTTACAACAAGCAACAAGTTTAGAAATAATTCGGGCATCCTTTGACAACTTCCTACTATCTTAAAAATAAACTTTGAAGTGACCAAAGATAACAAATTCAATAATTCTAAGTAGGAAAACTTATAATCTTATTGAAAGAAATTACGAAACATTTTCTGTTAATATTAGAGAGATTTCTTTAAAAATAAAATAAATTGATGTTTATTTAGTAAATGAAACTGAAATGTAATTTTACAGATCTTTATAATTATAAAATAAATATGAATGAAATCGTTTTATATGTAAATTAAACTACATTCGTATTGTTCTTTTGATAATCAGTAAAAACTGAAAGAATAACGTACTGATTATGTCTAGTAAAAACTTCTACAAAAGAAGGTACACTAGCACAAGCAATAATCATCCAAATAATCCACATTAATCCTTTTTTATAAATGACTAAAGAATTTTTGGTTGGATGGAACATGGATTCCCATAGTAAAAACATGAATCCATGAAATAAAAAGAACAACATATGTTCGCCGGAAATTTTGTTCATCTGAATTAATAAAGTATATTCATGTAGTATGCCACTTATAGTGAAAGCGGCCAAAACGCCTAACGTATGACTCTTTGTAATCGAACGAACAGGTGAATAACCTAATTCCTTGAATGTTTCATTGAATACTCCTTGCCAACGAAAACTCCAAAGTTCTCTTGGTGAAATAGAAAAATAAGGATAATAAAATATGTGCCTTGTGTGAAATATTAATGAAGTACACCATCCTCTTATGGTAATTTGCTTTTGCGTTAAAGAATTTTTGTTGGAAAGATATTTTAAAATCAAAGAAGAGATCAAAAGTACAATATCATAATTTAATGATAAATAAACATAAACCAAAAAACAAGATACCAAACAATGAACGAATTGTATAATGGTTAACGGGGGATTTCCATTTATGAATAACCATTTAAATAATCTTAAAAAATAAATTTCGTTTGGTACATTATAACCAAATTTATCAACAAATTTAAAGGACAATTCAAATAAAATCCACTTGAACATGATGATTAAAAATCGGAATAAAAGTTTCTCATTAATTTGTTCTTTTATTGGAATATCCGAGGGTGTCGGTTCGAACGTAACATTTTTCCTCCAATAAAATAAAGTTCTACCGAACGACTCGACATGTTTGTCTTTTTTAATATTTGATCTCAAACAATTTTTAAGCCACAAAATCATTTTAAATGTTATGCTTATTACTGGTAAGGCTATATTTTGATCTGGCGTTTTATATCTTGATCTGTAAATCACTGGAATCGATACAAAAACCAGCATTACGATCCATAAGAATGCGTAATGAAAATATGACGATGGTTTTTTAGCGGAGAATAATATAAATATTATAAGCGTCGATAAGATTGACGCCATAATGGAATTGTCGGTGGATCAAAGTCTTGTAAAGAAATCATTTTCAAAAATTTGAAGTTGAAACTTACTTTCTTTTTAAATAGTTCTTTATTGTTATAAATTTGGAAATAATTTTAAAAATATATGATTGTTATAAATTTGGAAATTATAATAATCCTCCCATTTACAAATGAACTACTTCCTAATTAAGGACGCTTATTGATGTTTGTGAAAGTTGATGGTAACAGCCATTGCTTATACCTGAGGAAGGGTTCGGAGATGGAAGGTAAACTTAAAAACACAATTAAAAATAAAATAACTCTCTGTGTGTTATTTTTTTCTTTTTTACATATGAGCTCCCAAATAACAAATATTATGCCATGAAATAAAAAAAAGTAAAATTGTTCTAGCGTTAATTCATTCATTTCTGTCCATGTTAAGTATTCATGTAATATGGCACTCAGAAAAAATGCACCCATGATTCCTCCGATTTGTGCTAAATTCTTTCGATTTTCGGAAAGCGAATTATCCTCGGTTAAATAATGTCTCAATGGAACATATGCCAATTCTTTCCAGATGTCATTGTATAATGTGTGCCATCTAAAACTCCAAAGGTCCCTTGGTGATGTAGATAACCATGGTGAATCAAATATATATCGCGTATCAAATAAAAATGAAATACACCATCTTTTAACGGAAAAGATTTTTCCCTTTAAGAAGGACTTTTCTTTATCATTTACCGTAGGAAATATTACGTTCAAGAAAAGTAAAATGATTCCCGAAATCAAAAGAAATGTATCGTAATTTTTGCTAACTAATAAATAAACAAGTACCATATAAAAGGAACAAAGTAATAAAGATTTCATCGTAATAGGTGATGCTCCAGTTCTAAACATATCAAGAATTCTAAAGAAATAAGGTGAAGAAGGAATTTCATTTATATCCGAATACATATCCATGACTTTAAAACAACTTTCAAAAATGATCCATCTGATAAATAAATAAACACTTCTTTCTACAATGTTTTGAAGTATTTGTTTATTTGTGGGTTGAAAATCTTCCTTTTTTCCACTCGTCACATTTTTTCTCCAATAAAATAACGTATAGAAAAATGGTTGAAAATCGTCAACAGAATGAGATGATGCAAATTTTTTTAACCAAAAACACATTTTAAAACCGAATATTATCCCTAATCCTGCTACACTTGCTTGTTCGTTTGCTGGATATCTCCCTCTATATAATATAGGTTGGATCATAAAACAAATCGTTAATGTAATTAATGTTGCTAAATGTAAAAATGACTTTGGTGATCGAAACGATAAAGATATAAATGAAACTAATATTAAGTTTGATAATAGTTTATAATTATCAAATGACATTTCTGGCGGAAATGAGGAATCAATATCTGTCATCTTTAATCTTTTCTAATAACGATGAAAGTGAAGATTTTTTTAAAAGTGAAAATTTAATATAAGAATAATTAATGTTATTTATATTTCTTTTTAAAAAAAATTAATCTGCATAAAAATAAAAATAGATTTATTTGATTTCCAAAACAATGTAATAAGTGAAATGAACGATTAACATAATGAAATTTTTTATGCATAAACCTGAGACACAAATTAAAGCCGATTATGATCTATCTAAAAATAACTTTTTTATGTCGAGTCGAACTTTCTAAAAATTGATTATAATTATATATAAAACAGATAATTTATGAAATTTTTCATTTCAATTTTAAAGGATAATAAAATAAATTTATCAATTTTAAGATTAAATAAAATTGTAAAGAAAGATAAACAAGCCTACATTATATTTATAAAATATAAAATTTAAACTGGATGCAGTGAAGGACTTGACACGACGAATCTTATCTTCCCATATCACGCTAAAGATGTCATAAATTTTTCTGGCCGTATCTACCCTCCTGCGTACCATACCATGTACAATAAAACCCTATCTGACTACGAATGAACTTTTTGAGACAGTTATATGATGTTAATCATGATGCGAGCAAACTACAAATACTTTATTTATTCCAATGGCTTGCAGTACAAAAATAAGATGGTTGAAATATAGATACATAAGCAAATTGGTAATATATATTTGGTTTAGCTAATATCGTAAATGATATGACATATGATTATTCACAAAATCACTCCTCCTCTTCAAGATGTTTTCCTGCGTTACCATTTTTTCTGACACTTAATTTTTTCCATGTCCCTCTTGATATTTTGGAGTTCATCACCAAGGATCCCACTAAGGTCTTCAATGAATTCTTTTCGAAACTTATTTAGATCAAACTCGGTAATGGCTGAAGAGGTTTCTACTGTAGATGTTTTACACAAATTTTCATCTACATCACCAGAATATATAATAAGCTATTAGTGCTCCAAAAAACACTATTAATAAATGTTCCCAAACCATATTACAATATGGTTACTTACTCTTATTGTTAAGCATCCTAGCAAACTCCGCAAGTCTCATCGACGGTCCTGTCTCTAACCCACACTCCTTGAAGTCTTGTTTATCCATTTTTATGAAGTCACGACCGACAATTTCTTGATTTTGTAAAATGTTGAAATGTTTTTCGTTCAAGAATAAGTTGTCTTGTTTTCGTAAAATGTCTATTAATTTCGCGGTATCTTTCTTTTCAATTCCCCTGGCTAATTCATCTTCGGCAGAAGACTGTGATGCGTGTTTTACGTTATTACCTGATGAAAAAAATAGTTTTTTGAAATAGGCCCCAGAGGAAACTAAGTGTATGTTGGACATTCATATACTATCCGATAAATTCTCCCATAATCGATTGTTTCCTGATCTTCGTCTTCCGCTCTTACTTTTTTTGTCAATTTTTCATCACCATCATTAATATCTGGAGAATGAGGCTTATTAAGCTTCCGCTTCAAAGCTATTATTTAGTATTTTATAGAAGTGTAAATTAATAACGATGTCTAAATATAATTTAGAAGTTTAACATACGTGGAAATTCGGCCCTTACTGCTCCGGTCGCTGCACGTATTCCGGTAGTCAAAATCTCAAACTAATTGCATCCAATTGAAGAAATATTACATCCGGGTTTTGGTATATAGATAAAATCAAATATGTTACATACTCGATGAATTCTATTCTCAACAGCTAGCTTCCCTTTTTTTGTGGAGTATTGTTGCCATAACTCTTGGTTAACCTGGTCTTTTTTGGAGTTCTTTAAAGAGAAAAATATAGTAAATACTACGAATAATCTTATTATAAGTTGGCAGACTGTAATTCAAGCAAAAAAAGCAATTTTTGCTATCAGCCCACTTCAAGCAAAAAAACATTATTGCCTTGTGCGATAAGTTCGCTCAACCTAATTGCAGGACTCGGTTATAAACAATGCCAACGGAACTAACTATCAAGCATAATATTATGCTACAGATGGACTGAAGGTCCCAGATGCAACATACTTCCCACTTCAGACAAAGGACATTTGCCTTGCGCGACAAGATCGCTCAACATAATTGCAGGGGACAGGTATCATTGTTCTTGACATTGTGACATGACTGAGAATCATTCTAGCTAGAAAAAAAAAGAAAATAATACCTTTAAAGATTTATTCAAATCCTCTGCCTTATAATAAGCCCGGCTTTTTAGCGGAAGTGCTTTAAGAATAATGTCCAGTTCAAGTCCAAGAGAACTATGCGCTTGCGCTTTGGAAACTCCAGGTACATTATTAATATAGTAGATATCCCAGTCACTCACGCTTCCCCACGAGCCTGGTTCGCGTTCCCAGTAATCTATGGAGGGAGACTTAAGTTTCTTCCTGCTAGCAGTAACTACAAAAGTGAAGTTCAGAAATTTACCTGCGTGATGAAGCTCTTTAAGAGTTTCCGAGTTGAGAACTGGACATTTTATCGAATGTATTGAATGTATTGGAGGAAAAAAACGATGACTAGGAAAGAAAATTTTTTTAACACGTTTTTTTAAACCTGTAAATGGCGTGACTGATGATCTAATCATGACCACGTGCCATCAATCGAATCTTTTAGACATAATTAATATCATGAGCCATGTACAGTATATTCTTGAAAACAGAACAAACATAAAAGCTCTGGACAGATAGAAAATTGGAAAAGATTCGAGGTTTTCTGCATGCACCAGTTCTCATAATGGATTAGGGGTGAGGTACGGAAAAAATAAGAAACTGATGTGAGCTACGGGCCTTAAAATATTAATCTTGTGATATTTATCTGCAATTTAAATGTAGAATTGCATGTATGATTTATCGACTATAGGATATCGAAACTTTTGGATGCTAGACAAACAAACTCTTTGATTTTTGTATCCTATTAGAAATAATGATTTCCGGGTTTTGGTCATACCATACCTCAATAAGGAAAATTCCATTGCATCTTTTTTGCCAATCACGATTAACAATGTCTTCGAGTTTTTTGACATCTTTATACCAGCTAGTACTATGAAACTAATGTTAAGCCTTTTGTATCTCCAATGCAATTTGATATTTTTGAAAGAAAGCATCAAGTTCTAATCCATTTAAGAAGGAAGGATGATATTCGACCATAGGTTTCTAAGAATTTCCTTAGCTATCTGAATGCATCTAGTCTGAAATTTGCGTTTTTCTTAGATTCTGATTCTTTTTTAAGTTTATTAATATCATGTCTTAATTTTGCTACTTTAGCTTTAAGCTCATAAATCTCTTCATCTAAGAAAGAATCCATTTTTTTATCTTTCGATAACTTGATATCTGCATTATTATTAGGTACTAATATCTTTGGTAATACCTTTGATATTACTTTCTTATTATTCTGTAGTTGTTTATCCACTATCACAGAATTCTTTTTTACTATTGCGAGCCTAGCCTCAAACTCTGCATTTTTCTATTTCAATTTCTTTTTCCTGACATCATGTTTCTCATTATATTCTTCATTCGCTCTTAGAAACTCAATATTCCTATATTTAAATTCAGCTATTTCAGCATCAGATACTGAGATCTTTCTTCTAAGATTTACGTTCTCAGCTTCAAGTTCAGTGATACGCTATTTTGATAATTCAAGCTCAGATATCATGATCTATATAACTAATACATTGTACATAAATATTCAAATAAAAACTTTGCGAAATAGGCTGTCTTAGAAAATTATCAAGAAAAAATTTTTTATTAATAAGTGCAAAAATAAATATAAAGTTTAGGACTTAGCCCATGATACATATTATTTTTTAATAATTTTTTTGATCCTAGCTCTCTTGCTAGCTAGGAAACTATCTATACTAATCCAATCCTTCAATAATCTTACAATTATGCTGATTACCCTTTTTACATTACTTTAAAATAACTTTAGATTTTATTTAATGATGGACTTTATGTGATTAATTTAGTATTTGCTTTCACTTGTAAAGTATATACTATCAGAAGTATATATGATAAAATACCATTCTGTGCCTGTAGTTACAATACCATATATATAATCAAAATAGTTCATTTTCCAAAAGCTTGATCTGCAGTTCGCTTCTTCTTATTTATCTGAAACACATTTTTAAGTTGAGTCTAATTCTAAAAAAAATAAAATGTGTTAATATTGAATCTTCTAAAAACAAAGATCTGTATAGTAAACACATTTGCGCATATCTAATCTTAATATTACGTGGCCTTCCTTTGGAAATATAGAGAAGATCTTCTAAACTTTTGATTGCATAGTCTACTCTGTCTGTTACATTTTCACTAGAAATGTTTTTCTGCAAAACTATGAATATATTTTAAAAGGTGAGTTTCTTGATGATGACAATTAATTTATATGATATAGCTGAAATAAATTTACAATATATCACTTCATTAGTATTGGTCATAGATTTACATTTAAAAATTTTAAGATAATATCTTCTATATAGTGTTCGAATGCCTTATCATCATTACTAATCTTCTTGAAAACTATAGAGAAAAATAAAATTAATATAGCTATCTAATTAGTTTGAAAATTAATTAATTATCTACTAGGAGTAAACTGTTTGATGTTTATTATATCTTGACCTTATTTTTACGCAACATTTTCTTCAAGTCATTGAGAGTTTTAAGCAAAGAATAGTTTCTTATTTTTTGACCAAAACCTTTAATGAATTCTGCGAGAACTGTTACTAGATCTAATATAAGGTCAATACTGCAGAAGTCTTCTTTAGTTAACTTTAGAAAGGTAAAACCAGAAATTTTCTCTTTACGAAGAATTTTAATATCATCTTTATTGAGTTTTAAGTTTTTCTTTTCAAATAATCGATAAGCTCCTCTATATCAAAATTCTTAATAATGTCTGATATTATTCTAGTAAAAATTTCTTCTATTATTAAGGCAGGTAAAGCAGGTAAAGAAGCTTGTAAAGACATAGTGTTTATATACAGTGGTGTGCAAAAAAAATGAACTTTTTTAAAATCACGATAGGTTCACAAGTATTGCGCCAATTAAAATGTTTAATGCGTCATTTTAAAGCTGAAAAGTAGTAAATTTATTAAAAAAAAAATTAATATGATATTTGTTCACCATTTTTTTCAATAACCTCCCTACAACGCTAAGGCATTGAATTTACAAGATTAACTAGAAGACTATTTTGAATTTTTCTCCACTCCTCTTCCAATAAACGCTCTAATT